ACTGACGCCCAGTGATTAAGGCTTCGGGAGGAGGCGTGTTTTGTGTATAAGTTCTGCGCGCCAGCGGCGCATAAAAAAAAAATTTTCCTAAACCAAATAACACTGATGCCCGAAACGTCTGAACGTGCCACAAAAACGCCGCTGTTAATGGTGTATTTGAGCACAACATGGTCCGAGCATTACCCGTGAAACAATGCTTATACTGAAAATATCTGTTCTGCAATAATCACACAAACAAGACTAATCTACCCGTTCGAGATACAACCAGAGTCGAAACGGATGAGCTGAAGTATCTTAAGTGAGTGGAGGGAAAACGGCTTGTCGATCACGCTCGTTGTTTAGACTACCCAACCTAGTCTTGATGTCTTTTCACCCTTGCAAAATCCCCCAAGGAGAGACGAAAACAAGCGCCCCCGTGGAGTCCCCACCCCCCTTCCCTGTTAGGTATTGACTAGCGCTCAAGGCCTTTGAAATCCGACAAGCGGGTATAAAGAAAGAAACTGCAAAAGAGAAAGGGGAGTTCCATGTCCATGTATGTACCACTAGGAATGTGAGTATCTGGTAGATTACAACACATTTCGCACTAGCACCTTTCGAACACTACCGCTACTCTCGTTGGCGTCACCCTTGGCAGCAATGGAGCGAGTACACCATACATCATTTGAATTAGGTCTGGCAATAATGTGACACTAACCATTTCATGGTTCAAGGCAATGATTCCCCGCTGTTCAGACCGAGCCGACAATGTACACTTCCCCAGGGATTTTGCAACACCCCCTCTCATACTTTACGATCAATATTCTTGAAATACATGTTAACGAGATTCGTCTATTATCGCAAAACACGTGAGAGTACACAACAACAGACGACTTAATGGACAGGAAGCAACAAACGGCATCCCCCATGGAATACTGCTGCTACCACACGTTCTACCCACAACCCGCTACATGTGCGTGATGCGCAATTCACCGAACTGGTCGAACGACCTTATAAGAGGCTTGCTGCAGAAGCAGCGACCGCAAGTCCACACTTCCTTACGGCAGGCATGCAGACGTTCGTGGGGGTGTTCGGTGGCACTTGAGACTGCCACGCTGCATGTCTTGCGGTTGATTTTTACATTTTCCAAGTCGTTGATCAAGGTGATGTTAAAAGTGAATGTGTCGAACCCCATGACGCTGCCGCTGGGTAGGTGCCTGGGCTTCTTCGAGTGTTTTTGTTCGTGAACGTTGCAGTTGACACCCGTGAGCTGCGGGCACCGGGACTCTCCGCCATACTTCATTTGGCAGGGCCCTTGGTGGTTGCCCTCGTGCGGCCCGTCTGGGCCTAGCCAAAGACCTACTCTCTGGCCGTCGTAGAAGTGCCCGAATTTACCAAACGAACGTTCCCGCTTGAAGTTGAAGGAGACCCCGTAGCCAGGTAGCTTTATCCAACTCCCCCTCCAGAGAGTCGCTAGAAAGCGCCATCTGCAACGCTTTGACGAAGTGTTCGGCCACACCAAAACCGACCCTTGCCTGGACTAAACGGTCTGTTTTATTGGTATTGGGAAACACACCGGAACACGGGGCAAAAGAGTTTGGTGAATGTTCACGGAACCATGTGTTTGCATTCACAGAGCAACGTAAGGTTGTGGGCTGACTTTCCCGGGGGTGGGCGGTAGGGGGGG